AGCTCACCTGCACACCCCTCACCCTCACCTGTCCCAGGTGAGCTCACCTGCACACCCCTCACCCTCACCTGTCCCAGGTGAGCTCACCTGCACACACCCCCTCACACCTGTCTCAGGTGAGCTCACCTGCACTCACCCCCCTCACCCTCTCACCTGTCCCAGGTGAGCTCACCTGCACACACCCCCTCACACCTGTCTCAGGTGAGCTCACCTGCACTCACCCCCCTCACCCTCACACCTGTCCCAGGTGAGCTCACCTGCACACACACACACACCTGTCCCAGGTGAGCTCACCTGCACACACCCCTCACCCTCACCTGTCCCAGGTGAGCTCACCTGCACACACACCCCCCCTCACCTGTCCCAGGTGAGCTCACCTGCACACACACCCCCTCACCTGTCCCAGGTGAGCTCACCTGCACACACACACACACACCTGTCCCAGGTGAGCTCACCTGCACACCCCACCCCCCCTCACCTGTCCCAGGTGAGCTCACCTGCACACACCCCCCCTCACCTGTCCCAGGTGAGCTCACCTGCACACACACACACACACCTGTCCCAGGTGAGCTCACCTGCACACCCCTCACCCCCTCACCTGTCCCAGGTGAGCTCACCTGCACACACACACACACACCTGTCCCAGGTGAGCTCACCTGCACACACCCCCTCTCACCTGTCCCAGGTGAGCTCACCTGCACACCCCTCACCCTCACACCTGTCCCAGGTGAGCTCACCTGCACACTCACCCCCTCACACCTGTCCCAGGTGAGCTCACCTGCACACCCCTCACCCTCACACCTGTCCCAGGTGAGCTCACCTGCACACACACCCCCTCACACCTGTCCCAGGTGAGCTCACCTGCACGCCGCCCTCCTCGTCGCGCCGCGGGGACGGCGCCGGCAGCGCCTCCGAGTCGGAGTTGTCGGAGCTGGGATTGCGGCGACGCTTCTTCCCCACCACGGGCGTGATGGTGCTGAGGGCACAGCCAGGGAGCACGCTGAGCCTCACCTGTGCCACGCCCTCACCTGTGCCACCTTCACCTGTGCCACCCTCACCTGTGTCACACCCTCACCTGTACCACCCTCACCCGTGCCACCCTCACCTGTGCCACGCCCTCACCTGTACCTGTGTCACACCCTCACCTGTGCCACCCTCACCTGTCACACCCTCACCTGTGCCACACCCTCACCTGTGCCACGCCCTCACCTGTGCCACGCCCTCACCTGTACCTGTGTCACACCCTCACCTGTGCCACACCCTCACCTGTGTCACACCCTCACCTGTGCCACACCCTCACCTGTATCACACCCTCACTTGTCACACCCTCACCTGTGCCACACCCTCACCTGTGCCACACCCTCACCTGTCCATACCACACCCTCACCTGTACCTGTCCCGTACTCACCTGGCTTTGCCACGCCCCTTGCTCTTGCTGCCCTGTCCCTTCCCTCTCCGTGTTCTCTCCTCCTTTCCCCCCGCTCTGTCTCCATCCTGCCCCTTCCATCACCTGTCCCACCCCCTCACCTGTACCTGTCCCACCCTCACCTGTACCTGTCCCATACTCACCTGGCCTTGCCACGCCCTTTACTCTTGCTGCCCTGTCCCTTCCCTCTCCTGGTTCTCTCCTCCTTTCCCCCCGCTCTGTCTCCGCCCTTGCGGCGCCGTTTCCGCTCGCCCTCCTCCTCGGGCCGCACGCTGGGCAGCTCGTCCTCGTTGAGCACGCGCGGGATGTT